TCATGTTAATATATATATATATATATATACAGAAAGATATATATATATATATACAGAAAGAGAGAAAATATTTAGTGCTTCGAAAGTTAATCATCCTAGTGATTTGAAATAAAACATTTAACCTTCTTTTGGCTTAGATTAAAACCTCATAGGGTGAAAACAAAACACAAAGATTCCAAGTAGCTGCCGATTCGAATATTAATCATACCAGCGAACTCAGACCACAGATTTGTGAATAAGATACAGATAATGACTAGCTAAATAAAAGTTGTCAAGAAATTTTAGAAATTTACTTTGCCCCATGCTGAATATGTCTGCACCGCAACACGTATTCTAGAAACGATCATCGCCCGTCATTAGACATACTCATATATTAGGTAAGATAAGAGTTTTGGCTTCCCTGCTCCGAGAACTCAATCTCACTGCAGGTCCACTCCCCCTTTGGGCACATCGTGGAAGTTCAACTTCCACTATTACCCTCCAGGAGAGCAGCGCACCACCTGGATACGACACCAGGCAGCACCGGTCGTCTAATGCTCCTACCAGTCGCTTGGGCGAGCCCGTCGCAGCGGGACATTACCCAGCGACCCCGGGGGAGACCCCCGGGTTACTAGAACCACGCCGCGCTAGGACGTGCCAGACTCCGAGGCCGGCCAATAAGTGACCTTTCCCAGAGCCTTCAGAACCACCAAGTTCATAAATTTTATACCCCCGTGGCCGAGACTGCCTAGGTACAGATCCTAGCCAGTAGCTTCGCAGAGTTCTCTACGTCGACCCCCGGGGGGGGATACTCATATATTGACGTAGAACTTGATAATTGTTAAATTGACCACTCACGATCTCTTTTTGCCAGCAACAGTATAAAAAAATACTTTTGTGTAACATTACTGATTTGTGCAGTGGAATCTGTGCAGTGGAACATATGCAGTACGTATGCAGTGGAACTTCAATTATCCATCAGTATTTGGACCATTATAACTATGGATGCGAGAAAAATGGCAAAAGAAAACTTTTTCCTCTACAACCACCATATATCCACAGTCGATGATAAAGATACATTTTAATATAGTGCATTCTGCAGTGTGGGTAAAAATCAAGATTAGAATTGAAAACTGGTCATATTATTGTTCTTTAACTTGTTCACAATTATGTACTTAAAAATATAGTCTTCAAATTAAATCACAGCCAGTCTATGATAGATATTAAATATCGTTTATTTCGAGTAATTTAATTTTTAGTTTAATTTAAAGTAAAATATGGTATTATATATTTTTCTTGTTGCAATAATCAAAGTGTACATATACAGTACAGTTGCAAAGTGTTTGGACTAACTTTTAACAAAATCCAGCAAGCCACCAAACGATAGTTGAAAGCATATATGCTATAACAGACTACCTTCCAGAAATTAAAGAACAGCATGTTTTTGTGTCTAATTTGAGAATGAAGCAGCATAGAAGCAAGAAATTTAGAGGACATGTTCACTAAACAGTTCTTTAATGAATGCGATATAGAATGTTTCTAAAGTTCAACACAAACATGAATAACAACAAAAAATTGCACTCTTGGCAAAGAAATCCAGTCTTGGAGAAACAGTACATCACAGTTTTTTAGGGAAAATGTGGTGGTAATACTACAAAAATGGGTTCTAATGAGAAATGTGTCTACCCTTAGTTGCAATAAACTGGCGAAAGCGACATTCCATGCTGTCAATTAAGCTGACGGTCGGTGAAATGGGAAGAAATGACTATACAACGAGTTATCCTTGTTAATCTAACGACCTTGGAGGAGAAGTTAAAGCATCAACAAGTCTCCCAAAATGTTCTATCGCTCTGAGGATTAAGCTGGCCATTCCATCCGCTCTATACAGTGATCCCCAAGATATTCTTGAGAAACCCGAGCTCGGTGTGGTCGCGCATTGTTGTCCATCCGAAGAAATGAAGGGCCAATAGCAGCGGCATATGGGTGGACATATTGATCAAGGATCTCGTCTTGATATCTTACACTGATCAAAATCCTTCCATGAAACACATGCAGATCAGTGTGCCCACAGAGAGAAATCCCAACCCAAACCATTATTCCACCATCTCTGTAACTGTGTCTTTACATAATGAGGTAATGAGGGATTTGTGCCTAGGTCCCTCTAGATCAGCTGACGACCTGAATCATTCTCCAGTGTGAACCTGGACTCGGCTGTGGAGAGAACAGACATCCATTGTTGAGTGCTCCAGGAGACGTGCTCTCTTGCCCAAGATAAACGGGCACCTCTGTGTCCTCGGGTCAAGGGCACACAAACAACTGTTCGTATGGCATACAGACCTCTATTGTGCAGATGTCTGCGCACTGTAGTAGCTGATATTATTTTTTTCTGTCGCCACTAAATGATCTGTCATGAGCTGAGGCACAGTAATGTTACTCCTCCTTCGGGTCAAAAGAACTAAATAACGGTCTCTCCAGCAGGTGTTGTCACTCTTGATCTGCCTGGAGCATGTCTTCTGGACACAGAATCTCGAATTCAAACTAATTTCATAGTCGGTGGACCTCACTACGAGAGACATAGAGACATCTAGCATCATCAGCTTGTGATACCCCCATTTCAATCCATCCGATCGCCCACCACCTTAACGAATCGTTACTATCATGCATATAAACTGTGAATTTAAATGTTACTGGCATTTTTGTAATGGTGATCTTTGGAAACATGCATGTTACCTTTTGAAGGACAATGTATGTTAACTTGCTCTTCCTTAGAAGCGTTGGTTTACGGACAGAATCGTTTTATGCCGTTAATCATTTGCTTTGACCCCGTGAGTATTTGCTACCATTGATTCGAAATCTGAGCAAATAACAGTTACAAAATTTTGTCGTAAGGCTACAAAAACATAACAGAGACTTATGAAATGTTGTATAAAGCGTACAGAGTTGAATCAACTTGATCCAGTGTTTTTAATGGTATGGATTATTTTGTGATGGACGCGAGATATTAATGAAAAATCCAACATCCTGCACAATCTCGAATGGATGAGAACAAAATTGTTACTTGTTCCTTCGAACAATAACTAATGTACTTAATAACAGTTGTTCATAAAATTCTCATGGCAGAACTTGGAAAAAGAAAAATGTGTACTTGTTTTGTCCTTTAGGCATTGGCTATATTAAAAACCAAGATCGATTTTCCGCATGTCATAATTTGATATAAACGACATGCATTAGTTCTTACTTTTATCACATAGATTGTGACAGGAGAAAATAATACTTGGTACTTTGCTTATGATTTTGAGACAAACAACAATCATCTACTTGGTTTGGAATAAATTCACTACGGCCATTTTGTTTTCAAAAATTTCAAATAAAAACTACGTTGAAAATATTTTTTTAGTGGAAATTTGCTTCTGACGGAAACGCGCGGAAATAAATTCTTTCTTAAAGATGTAAAGCATTTAGAGCATTAGGCTTGAAAATGACCTGTCGAATAATCGGTTTCTGCTGAACGACAATGCGCTACCATACAGTTTTCCTACTTGTGAAGCAGTTTATAGCAAATAAAGCCGTCTTAATTCTTAACCAGTAACCAACCCTTTTATTCAACAGATGCGTCTCCTGCAGACTATTTTCTCTCTTCTAAAGTGTCTCTCCTCACAGACCACTTTAATAGCATTGAAAAGACAACAGACTTTCAAGAAATGAGTTCTACGAACGAGTGAAGGAGCTGTATGAACTTAGCAGACTTACAAAGACTGCGTATTAAAAGGCTAAATGTAAAAATGTTCTTTTTAGCCCAAAGGAGCGTCAGACCCAAAAGACCTATTAATTTCGTTTTGGAATTTTGTGCCGGTTCCTACAAATGGCGAATCACTTTTCAGATTATTGCCACCAAATATTAGCGCCCTGTGTTATATTTAAAGAAATTAAAAAACGAAGATTCTGCATAAATGTATGCATGTTTCTCGCACTGTGATAAAACACAGGTACCCAGAGTCATCAAATTTTGAATAACGTCATCCTCCACTGAATATGGGCATCTGGATGCTCTAATCTGGAATTTTTTTTATTATCGATTTCAAATTTTCTAACACTTTTAACGAATTTTTGATTAACAAACTCAACGATTTCAAACGGAGTAATGGCAACACTGTACGAGAAAAAAAATTATCTCCCGCGCACGACACTCTGTATCGGAAATTCTAAAGATATGCTCATTTTAAAATTACTTTGCGATATTGCTATTGAATTGAGTTTTATGTTTTAAGTGCAAAGAACATGATATTTAATAAATAAAGGTAACACACAAAACGTTAAAAAAAGTCTCTTTGGGCGTAATGTAAAGTTTGAAAGCTTTCAGTTTTATTTTTGTTATTTTACAAAATTAGTTCTATATCGTTGTATAATGCTGCCCATTGTATAAAACTGCAGAAGAGAGCAATAACAAGATAATTCTTTATAAACAATAATAATACACTTTAGAATATTTTATAATTTTTTCTCTTTACTATATAACAAGACATTTTTTTTAAATACCGTGTAGTTAAAATAACAGCACATACTAGATAAATTACTGAATTTTGTATGTAAGCGAATTTATGCGGTTATGAAAAGAAATTTTGTGACAGTACAATATGTTTTATTCTTCAAAACAGTATTTTAGTGTTTTATTTTAAACACGACAAAAAATCATATTTACAAATTAACCTTTTCTTAAATTAGTATTTTTTCTTTTGGTACAAATTTTTATTCTTTCTTCTTCGATAAATTCATTCAGTCCATTGGGCTATCACATTCGTGACAGACTATAGAGAGTTATAAGAATAAAATAGGATCGATTTTATCAAAATAATATATTAACTAATACATTAAATGACTATTAAGCGTTAGGAAAACAGTTTTTACTTATCATTATGAGCATTTCTTACACGTTTCACTTTCGGTAAGACTAAATGTATATTGAATTTTCATAAAATGCATTAGATCGTTTGAAGTAAAATATTGTTATGTTTCGCTTTTAGTTAAAAGAAGATGATGTGTTAGATCGACGGTTAACAATTTTGAGTGATAACTTGGAAATATCTTCGATTTTTCTCAGACTGAATTTAACAAGAAAGCTCTTCAGAAAGAGAAAAGTAATTATAGAATGCAAAGCTTCTTTGTTCGGAGTACAACCTGTGATTCAAAAAGAAGTTGCAGTACTAGGTAAAATATTTTTTTATCATAGGATCATATTTTTAAACACATCTTTTATTATATTTTGTATTTAAGAGTTAAAATCTTTTACTTAAGATATTTAACTCTTTTCCAAAACTCGAATATTATTTATTAGATATTTGCATACGTCCGATTTTGTTACTCTATGAAGTGTTTGTGTATGGCTTGATGGTCTATGTTTGGTTTTGAAAGAATAAATGTTAAATAGTTGATTTCAATTTTTGGGGGGACTTTTCTACTTTCCAACGTTTTTAATCGTATTTCAACAGTTCTGTTTTAATCACAATAAAATACAAATGTAAAATTAAAAATATTTTTTGACTCTACAACTTCAAAAAATTTGAAATAGATAATTCATTTATTTCCTCGAAGTTTTAAATAAGTCAGAATATTCCATGTTCTTTTCTCATCTCATAATTAAGATCAAAGCCATGATTGCTGTATAAAAAATTTCCTTTGAATTAAATTTTTTTCAACTGAAATTATTTTTCTTAACAGAGTGCTTAATGCGTAAATGCATTCTTTTTAGTATTATGTACTTTATTGTAATAATAAAAGGTATAAAGAAGAAAAATTCTGCTTGAATCCAAAATAGAACAAAATAAAATTCAAATTTCAAAATCTACTTGTTAACTGCAAATTATTTTCTTAAAGATTTACCTTCTTTAATTTTTGGACTACAAAATATTTTTTAAGCTTTTTAAATGAAATATTTATTAAGGACTTCAAAATGCTTTTTAAGTGAAATATTTGTTTCAAAGTTTTAAATGTTTATTTATAATACAAATTTCACATGATTTATCTTCTAGCTCTAAGGTGGTTTATTTATAAATGATTAGATTTCTTTCTGATTTTTAATATGCAGTAGATTCCCGATTAACTGGCTCCTAAAACACTGGATCTCAATCCAGACAAAGAATGGACAAGATAGTTGGAAAAATGTTAGAAACATCTTTATGCTGTAAATTATATTAAAAAATAGACATATGCATGAAATGTTCCCTATAAATATTTACAAAAAATTACTTGTGTTAGTTAACGTTAGGATCTTTCAATTATTTGTTTTTATTTTGATTCTTGTTTCGAAATAAATTTGCACCACTTTTGCATAACCATTAATAACAGTGACAAATTGTTTTCTTCTTCAAAATATTTCATCAAACTCAGAACCTCAATTGTTTATAAGAAATGCAGAGAAACTTGAAAGGATTTTTGCACATATGTATGAAATTTTTTCCCAGCATTCATTGTAATGACACAAGCAGTTACCACGTGCCACATAAACAAAATGGCGGCATCTGTTGTGGAGAAGGAGTTGTGTATTTCAGAACAAAGTGAAACGAAAACTGTTACTACCAATGCAAACTGCAATCAAACTTCAGAAAACTTTCCTCTAGGCCGGAAGTCTGCTTTAAAGTTGGCACAAGAAATTTAATAGTAAAGGATTGTTGTTGGCACTCTTTTGGGCGCGATTCTATTCTACATGAGGTTTCAATTTTTCGTCAATCATTTGGTCTGGATTGTAGTTAGACTCGATGCAGGGTGATTTCTTTGAATGCTCTCGATTGGGGTAGAAGATTTAAGAAATGGTTTAAAGAAATAAATAATAATTACATGGTTGAATTAAATAAATAAACCTTTATTTGCACTTTGTGAAAACTACAATCCATCAAATGAAGAATTTCGAACTTTATTTTAGTCCTCATTCGACAAGAAACAAGGCTGTTTGTGCAAAGTTAAGTCCTAGATAACTTTTAAAGAGCAAGCTGAATGTATTTGCGAGGGTCTCTAACAAAATTCAACAACGAACGAATGTCTTCGATACAGTTTAGAACATTTTGCAAAAAAAGGTTAAAAATTCATTCCACGCAAATTGCAGTTGTTGGAGCATCTAATTCAAATGGGAAAAAGAAAAACAAGCCTTCTCCACTGTATATGAGGTCACTTTTATCAGTTCATTTATGCAATGGTCCGAACAGCATTGCGAGAGGAAAACATTCATATCAGTACACACATACTCTTTTCAAGTCTCGTTGAATTTTTTTTAATAAATTACTGAAATTACATATTTCTTTTGTAATAGCTCTGAAGTACACTTAATTTCTCTGAGTACATTAGATTGTACTTTTTTCGAAAAATTTGTAAAGGAAATTTGATTTGAAAATAAATAAGTAAAACTAAAATAATAACAAAAATAAACTATTTTGAAGAAAATATAGCTAGCTAAGAAAGAATCTACTGCACTTCTACAGTGTAGCAGCATAAATCTCAAAATTTGATTTATCTTTCAGAAATCAATAATGCATTCTGCTACAGTCATAACCATTTAGCGATAACGGTAGCCACTATAACAGTTTTGTGGTCATACCTGAGGTAATTAGAATTTATTGTTTACATTATTTGAGTATTTAGTTTTATGTATTCAGATTTCAAAATAATTCTTTCTGAGCTTATGGTACTTTTCTTGTACTTTATTTCGATAACAAATAATAGACAGAAATCAGGATCTGAATGTTTGAAATTCAATATCAGTTGTGTGGAAAAAAATGCTGTTCTTCAAGGTTATTCGACCCATATTAACCAGAGTAATTTTTAACTAGTATATTTTTGTTGCTCTTCCATTTTGCAAAGTGTATAGTTTTTTAGTTGCAATTTACTGATATCGGCTCTTAACTATTTTGAAAAAAAATTGAAGTAAGAATAGCTATAAAGTTGAATGCATCTCACATTTTCTTTCATTTGAAAACCTACTCATGCAAAATCATCCAAATCATTTTGGAGCCTTTGTAAAACCATAAACACTATATTTTCATTTTTCAAGTTTATTCTTTCTTAAAATCATTATAAAATTAACACATTATTTAAATAAAAATATTAATAAGCTTTCTAATAAATTAGATACTCTTGTCTAATTAAAATACTTAAAGAATTTTTAAATTAATACTTGGTTTTAACAGTTTGAATATTGGTAGGAAATCTGTATCAGTAACCAAATTTGACCTTTCTCTTTACATTACTTAAATACTTAAAGGCTCAAAGACATAAAGATTTCCAAAAATAACATTGCACTTTTTCCAAAATAATAGTTCTCTTAATCAACTAATATCATTTTTAACAACTACACAAACTAAAAATGTTTTATTCTGTAAAGTGTTGCCACTGCTCGCTTTCACATCGTTGAGTTTATTAATCAAAAATTCATTAATTAAAATATGAAATAAGGAATAAAAAAATATATAACGTCATTCTATGAAAATACTGAATATTTTTAATTAGAAAAATCATCAATTAAATGAATTTTTATGAAACATAAAATGTCTGCGTTTGTAAAAAGTAATGAATTGAATTCAAAATGTCATTCAAGCCAAATGTTACAACAAATAAATTAATTTTAATTTCTTAATTTTTATATGATAATTTTGTTTTCTTTAAAAAGAAAAGCAGAAATTTTGTTTCATACAGCTTTCATTTTTCTTTACCCATTTTGAATAAGAACTTTTAATGGCACTCTCTCATTATTTTTTCAAAATAACGTTTTGTATTTTTGAGGAATGTACGTTTTTCAAATAATAGCTTTATCATGACCTACCTTTTTTTTTATACTTTACCTAAAGAGCATTTGTCATTCTGTAGAATGCCTAGGTATTATATACAATGCCTAGGTAAAGTATATAATTATTTTTATGTTTCATACTAGGCCTAGAAACGCCAAGCATTCTATAAAATGCCTAGGTATTCTATGAAATGCCGGCGTTTCACACTGTGCGGGTAACATATATAGTATTGTGTTATACATATATATAATATTTATAGTTCTTTTAATGACACGTTTAATTCCGCAAACAGAATTTGAACCTATCTCTTGTAATTTGCTTCTAATTTGTTCGCTTGTAATTTATGGTTTATGATCTAAATTTTATGGTTTAAGTGCAAAGAACATGATATTTAATAAATAAAGGTAACACACAAAACGTTAAAAAAAACGCCCCTTTGTACTAATTTAAAATCTGAAACATTTCAGGTTTTTTTTTTTTTTTTTTTTTTTTTTTTTTTTTTTTGTTTTGTGTGTGTGTGTGTGTGTGTGTGTTTAATTTTTTTAAAGCTGATTTAAAGCTGATATACAATTTGTTCTTTTCATTTTATTAAAATGAATTGTCACGTCGATGAAAAAAGAGCATCTGTGACATCCACCTGCTTTTTGCGTTTAAAATCGAAGTCACAAAATGTGGCTTCACAAAGCTGCTCGAGAGATTTGTAAAGGTTATGCGAAGAAGCGATACATCTTAGGACGCCTCAAATTTAGTTTAAGCCATTCAAAGATGGTGATTTCTACCGTCGAAGCACTGAACAGGTCGTTGAACGTTGGAGAGAAGATGTAAAGACCAACAGAGAATACATTATTGATTAATTTGTTGTTTATTTCTTGTTCATTTTTGTAAAACCGTAACCTGAAAAAAAAAAGGGCAAAACTTAGCGGTCAACAATATTATGTGTCACGAATTTATTTCTTAATTAATAGCGAATTAAGATACTCCTTTCTTTATCAAAATGTATAGCAATCAAAGTTGAAATCAGATTATTAGAATTACGGCAAGGCACTTTACTGCTATCTACTTAGTGGCTTTCTTACAAGACGTTTTAAGATAAAACAGGTTCACATTCACATTACACAGCAAAATCACGAAAACGTTCATGCAGCATTCGAAACGTTTGAACAAATTGAACTCAGGTCGAACTACCAGTGTTTAGTCCTCATATTCACTCGGCTTCTGTTTGGTATAACGGTCTAGGTAAAATTTATATTTAATTTACCAGCGAATTAGTTTTTTTTTTTTTTTTTTTTTTTTTTTTTTCACATTTTATTTTGACTGACCATTTCCATCACACCATGTATATGATGGAAATGATCGGCCAAAATATGCAAATATGTAGACATATATATAATTTAAAAATAAGAATAAAAAGAAATGAAGTAGTTACAAATCTGTTTATTACTTCCCAAAATTTAAACTGTTATTAAAATTAGAATTACAGTGTTTTAAAGCAGTAAGTATTAATTACGTTAAAATAATCTTTTTGATTACATTCACTAAATATCCTAAAATTTTTAAACGGACCTGTTTATGATTTCTGTTACACGTTTTGTATTATTTACATCGAATTTTACTTCTACGTAAATTTAATTGGTTATTTATTTATTTATTTATTGTTGGGAAACTTTTAAAACATTTTGTATTCAAGATATTATTTTAACCATAATTTGTTTAATTAATTTCTGATTATTGTAATTTATGACTGCTATATTTTACTACTTGGTTGTGTTTTTATTTACTTTTATTTTTACGGCAAGCATGTGTTTTTATATTTCCAAGTTAAGTCCTTTATTAGTACATAACAAACAATTTACTTTTACGATTTTAAGCGTGTTCTTATTTGCGGTTTTTTTTCTTTTGTTCAAATCTATCACTTTCCTATATTTGTAAGCAGTGGGATTTTTGTTTATGATTTTGAATCAAAATGAAATGTATTTCTTCTTTTGTAGGTGATAATGCTATACAACTTATAATATGTTTTGCAGGTTTTCAAATTTTTTCCCACCTTGAGATTCAAGCTAATTATGAAGATTTATGTTAAAGGAAAATGATTACAGTTCCAGGAAATGGAAAAACTGTCAAAACCTCTCTTGATTATTCTCATCATACTGTGAACATCGTTAATAAATAAATGTAATGATGATTTAAAAAAATAGAATGTTTTATGATGTACAATCAAAAACCCTGTATGAAAACATTTTGTTCAATCTGTAAAGTAAACTGAACATAATGATTGTTTAATTAATCGATTATGAGACAATTAATGCTTCCCGATAATGCATTGAATGCAATGCAACATTGTCATTTTTAGCCATTTATAAAAAGAGTTCTGTAAAAATGTGAATAAATAAATAAACTTGCTAAATTTATTTTAGGTATGATAAGCTTATCCTAAAAAGTTTGAACTAAAATATTTTCTCTCGAATTATATTTCTATGACATCTTTTCTAGAATTTCATTCTTTGATATGCACAGATCAAAGCGAATTTCTACAGCACTTCTTGAATAGTCTCGATCAAGGCAAAACGTTTTTTGTATGTTATAACATAATGCACTTTCCTCTAGCATATTCGCTATAATATTAGTGTAACTCTTCTATGCAAAAATCTTAATTCTAAATATAATGCGTTGGCAAAGGTAGAAAGCAAATTTTTCAGTTGTGTTCTGTGTCGGAATTTTAACTTAGTCGCTCAAAGAAGTGAAACTATTCAATTTCAGTGTTGGAAAACTTTTAATCGGAACAGTTCAATTCGAGTATGTGACTGAAATGACATTACTAGCAGTACCTTAATATTATCTTTTGTTTTTGTGACTGGCTATAGAATATATTTTCGAAAATCCTCAAGATAAGAAGAGATTATAGAAGGAATATTACCTTCTGATTTGCCACTTGATAACTTTAAGAAACTGTAAGTGTCTAACGAAACGAATAAGATAACTTTCCATACTCCATTTTTCAATAATACAAAATGTGAAAGATACAGAATGAAAAAAAAAATGAATGTATTTGTTATGAACCACGTGTACAGTTCTAATAAATGTACTGAAAAAAAAAACTGAACAGTCTTTGGCTTATTTATTTGGGTAGTTTCTCAGCTATTATCAGAACAATTTTGCTAGAAATTGTATGAAAGGTGAATTACTTCAAAAGATTTAAAATTTAAACAAAATCCAACTTTGTACATTTCGATAGCAATTGAGACGGTAAACTCATTTTCAGTACAAACACATTTTGCCATAAAAAGAGGCGTAACGCTGTAGAGACATTAGGTTAATTTTGGAAGCCGGAGAGATGAAAAATAAGCAATCGCCTTCGCCGGGAATCGAACCACGGACTTCTGGAATACCGGCCCAGCGTGCAGAACTACTAAACCATGAAGGACGCTAGAAAAGTGGGAGAAATACCTTATAACGCCTTAAAAGATAGCACTACCCATTTTTGAAGAAGAAAATAAAAGAATTAAAAAGTATGAAATAAGGCTTTAAAATATTTGGGAAAATATGGTTTCAGATTGAAACCGTTAATAAAAATAAGTAATATTTGATAAATCTCAAAGGCTCCCAGGAAACAAAAGTGTTAATCTTCCCTTATATACTCCTAAAAAAAAAACAACTTTCCCTATATATGAGTCCTTATGGTGTTAAGGAATGTGTCCTTAGAGGCCGCATGGGGTAATGAATAAATTTTAAAAAGTAACACCCATTTACATTGTAGTGCGATTGGCATAGTGATAAACTATAAAAATATTACAATGATAATTCTATTTCCACAAAGGTTGGCTTTAGAACAAGAGTAGAATAAGAAACAAGAGTAGGAACAACAGCTATGCAAGAAAGAAAACATGCAGTTGTGCGAAAACACGTATTTTGCATCAAAGCCATGAAATTATACATATAGTACAGGAAATCACTACTAGTCACATAACCCAAGTAGTACTACTCATCCGAAGTTCAGGGATTGGACAAGTACAGTGCTATATTAATAAAGTATAGGTCCTAGACCATGGATGTCTAAACTATGACCATTTGAGGGCCGCATTCCTAAGAAAAAAAATGTGCGGGGCCACACATATAATATTTTTTAACAAATTGAAGTAAAAATTAGCTCTATATTGTTTTATTAAAATAAATTTACTTCTTTTTATTAATTTTTTTAATTTGAATTAGATATGTATAGATATGTATACAGATATTTAGATATGTTTAGATATGTATACATATGTTTAGATATGTATACAGGGTGATCAGCGAATAAGCCCTGATTTCAAAATTAAATATCTCTACAACAGAGATCGATAGAATTATGCGGTAAACTTAGCAAACATTTGCAAAACTGTAAAAATGGTGTACAAAAGTTTAGAAAATTTAGTTACGAAAATCGTTAACAGATGGCGCTCTGCGTTGAAAACTCTCTGAGAGGAGTAAAAAAAAAATAATAAATAAATAAATAAATAAAAATAAAAAACCAATAAAGTGAAGCAGCCTTTGCAATCAAAATACAATTTTTTAAAAATGTTCACCGTTCGAAACAATGAGGTGGCGTAAACGAACAATGAAATTTGACATCAAGTCTTGCAATGTCTCAACGAAAATGGAATCACATGCAACACCAATCAACGATTCAAGCTCATCTAGAGTAGCGGGATTGTTTCGATAGCAGTGTCTTTCAATGCGCCCAACAGAAAGAAGTCACAAGGACTCAGATCGGGAGAATATGGAGGCCAAGCTATTCCTGTGTCAGTAAATTGCCGATAATCTAACGCAATTACTCTATTTCCAAAGTATTCATGAAGAAAGCGAAAAACTTTATCTGTTCGATGTGGTCGAGCCCCATCTTGCATGAACCAGTCGATACCTGGTCGATCCTCCAACGCTAGTTGAGTGCTGACAAATTGTTCCAAAATTGTAACGAAACGTTCAGTAGTTATCGTTTCTCGTACGAAAAATGGTCCGATAATGCCTCTGGCGCATACCGCAGCCCATGCAGTAACTTTAGACGAATGCAGTGCTTTCTCTTCACACAAATGAGGATTTTCGGTACCCCAAAATCTCCAGTTTTGTTTATTAACGATTCCATTCAAATGAAAATGTGCCTCCTCTGTGAACCAGATGCAGCTCACATGAAATCTGTCGTTGTCGATCATTGTTAGAATCTGATTCGCAAAGTCAACCCTACAGCTTTGTAGGGTTGACTTTGCGAATACAACAATTGTTGTACAGCTGTACAGTTCATTGTTGTACAGCTTTTATGGGTATGGCCCTGATGACTTTGGATTTTGTATGGAAACAGCCGTAGGCTATTTTTGAATATTTTTTAATATTTTTTGCGTGCTCGTGTACTTCAAACCTGTCTCTGATGCCATCCGTCGGATGCTTTTCCTAGGATTTTGCTGAACAATCCCAGAAACTTTGGCTGCATTTTCAGGAGTGACTACAGTTTGCCTAGGCCCAACATTTTCCTTTCGATCACCAGCCACGCTGCCAGTCCGTTCAAATTTCGCGAAGAGCATGCGAATGGTTTTCGCATCGGGTCCAACTGGGACATTGAATCGGTTTTGAAAACTGGACTGTGTTCTAATCGGTGAAATTCCAGAACCAAAAAAACACGTTGTTCAATGGAATACATTATTTCACTTTCTACGCAAGCCTTTTTTTTTCACTAGCCAATAGTCGTACTGATCCTTTTCGAATTCAAAGCACATTTTTTTAAAGGCTATTGATAGGTCATTGCGATTAGAGCGCCATCTGTTAACGATTTTCGTAACTCAATTTTCTAAGCTTTTGTACACCCTTTTTACAGTTTTGCTAATAAACGTACAATTTACCGTATAATTCTATCGTGCTGTGGAAATCCCCATCTGACACGTTATATTTCAGGGCATGGCCCTTTTCCTCTTTATTTCGAGGGATTTAAAATAAGCGATTCAAGTTTTTGCACCTGCGGAGAGTTAGGCTCTCCTGAGCATTACCTTGAAAAATGCCCTCTTACAGAAGGCTTACATATCAGATTCCCTTCGCAAAATCGTCAAGCCTTTTGCAAATTTCTAAACAAGCAGAGGCACTTGATTAATAAAATTAACAAGGTTATGGAAAAGGTTAAAGGTCTTGGAATAGACCTGTGCCAGGTTGTAGCATTCATAGGCATAATGTATTGATGCAAAGTACATAATCTTCGTGGTAAACTCTGGTTTAATGCTACATTTATATATTTTAGTGATATTCTTATAACGAACTGATCTAATGAAATGATCATTGTACTGTATCTTATGCACCCCCTATGAAAAACAATATGTTTACTTTGCTTATTAGTTACCACAGTCTTAATATACCCTTTCAAATAGTCACTCAGTACAAATTCTATCAAATTTTGTGTTTCTGAAATGCAAAAGCAAAATATTTCATAAGAAATTACTGTACCAGTGTAGTGTATTGTAGCAAATATGAGGGTACACCCTTATTGGTTTTTGTTGTTCTAGAATGCTTACGTTTGTATGAATGATACTTATGGGACATAATGTCTGAATTTGTAAAGCACATTAAGTATGTACTTTTCAATGATCCTCACGACTTGATCCTGATTTATTTGTATGATCCTATATTCCACATTCTTCTGCTCTAATACGCAAAATATTATATGCAAAATAATTACTTGTAAAATATTGACTGGTATAAGTGTATGTGTATTATTTTGTATGGCATATTCTAAATATATTTATATATACAGAGCATTATTTTTTTTATTTATTTATTTATTTTTATTTTTTGAAGTTTTTTATGTATGAATAATATAATAATATTTAATCATATAATTAATTGATACTTAGTATTTTGCATTTTAACCTTTTGCATTTTAACTGTATACGCACCAGCATTATGATTTAATAATCCTGTTTCATTATATACTGTATCATGCATATGTAGGATATTGTATTTTTTTTTTTTTTAATTTTTTATTTTTTATTTTTTTTGAAGGTTTTATGCATGAATAATATAATATTATTTAGTCATATAACTTAATCGATACTTAGTATTTTACATCTTAACTTTTGCATTTTAACTGTATACGCACCAGCATTATGTTTTAATAATCCTGTTTGATTATATACTGTATCATGCATATGTAGGATTATTGTATGGTTTATTTATATAGTATGATATCGTAAGTACTGTAATGTATGACCTGTAGTCCCACTAGTCTCTATATAAGGGTGGACGTGGTGCTATTACCAATTAACCATAACGGTAAAGGGATGGTGCCCACGTCCTCCGTCATTAAACTAAACTAAACTAAACTATAATTCTATCGATCTTTGTTGTAGAGATATTTAATTTTGAAATCAGGGCTTATTCGCTGATCACCCTGTATTTATAATTAATTTGTACAAGTTTTATTTCATTTAGTTTGGATTTCATAAAGATGGAAAGAATTCAAATTAATGAGATAGATGAATTTGCTTTTGTTGAACAAGCAAATCGATATCGGGTTCAATAGACGAGGTTGCAATTCTTAATGCATTTTCAAGATGTTTTTCAGTGATCTTTGTCTTCTTTTTGTTTTCTGTATGCTTCATTCTTGAAAATAATTGTTTACAAAATAGGTACTGTCAAAAGCTGAAAACATTAATAAAGCATGATTGTGAAAATTAGGATATTTATCGCGAGGTAGGTAATCTTTATAAAACTCCAGCAAAGAAACATTTTCAAATTTTTCTTTCAGTTGAATGTCACTTTGCAGTTCAATGCATTTCATTTGAAGAATTGAAGGTAATTTACTTATTTCCAGAGAAAATGGGGTAGAAAATATGATGAAATTACTCTTCATTTTTTCGAAAAATCTTTAAATCTATTTTCAAACTCTTGAATTAAATCAAAAACTAATGCAAGCATAATTTACATATTTTGTGCAATTCACAGGTTTATGGGGAGCCAAAGTACTGAAATGTGTCAAATCTTTTACTTTTATTAGTTTGTGCCAAAATTTTAACTTTCTTTCAAACGCTGTTATTGTTTGGAACATATTATTAATAATTTAATTTTTTTCCTTGAAGT